TCAGAAGATTATCGTAACCTCATAGACACAGTCGAGAAAAATGCCGAACAATTGCCCGATTTGAAAGTAATCGACGGTTTCGTTTACAAGCGTACTAAACCTTACGACGGTTTGGAAACGAATGAAGATTTCGCGTGGAAATTATGGGTACCGTTAGATCTGACAGAGGACATCATAAAAGCGTGTCATGATTCCCCACAAGCGTCTCATGGAGGTGTCGGTAAAACTCTCTATAGAGTAAAGGAATATTTTTACTGGCCAAATCAAAATGTCCAAATTAGAAACTATGTCAGAAGGTGCCAAACTTGCAAAGAAGCTAAGCCAGCAAATACTACGCTCAGACCACCGATGGGAGCCGAAGTCCAAACGGAACGCCCCTTCCAAAGAATCTTTATAGATTTTCTCGGTCCGTACCCGCGGTCTAAAAATAACAACGTTTGTATTTTTATTGTATTAGATCACCTAACCAAATTTGTGTTCCTGAAAGCTTTGCCGAAAGCCGACACTAAAAACGTAGTGAAATTTTTAATTTCAGAAATTTTCCATAAATTTGGAACACCCGAGACAATTGTCTCCGACAACGGAAAGCAATTTATAAGCAAGGAATTTGCCGACGTGACAAACAATTTCGGTATTAAACACGTCCGAACCGCGATCCACTCGCCGCAAGCCAATGCGTCCGAGCGTGTTAATCAGTCCATTCTGGCAGCTGTAAGGTCGTATCTGCAGGAAGACCACACAGGATGGGACAAGCAGTTGTCCGAAATTGAATTTTCCTTAAGGTCTTCCGTGCAGTCGTCCATCGGAGTTACGCCTTACTTCGCCTTGTTCGGAATGAATATGATTGGCCATGGTAGCGTTTACCAGTTGGCACGAAAACTGAAAATCTTAAATGATCCAGAAATTAACGTCATTCCGAATGCTGCTAGATTGGATCTGATCCGTCAGAAAATTCGCGGGAATTTACACAAAGCTTACGCTCGCAACGAAAAATCGTATAACACGCGGTGTCGTCCAATTAAGTTCATTCCCGGTCAGGAAGTCTACCGACGTAACTTCCAGCAGAGTGATTTCAAAAACAATTTTAATGCCAAATTCGCTCGAAAATTTCTAAAATGCCGAATTGTACGACCAGTCGGAAACAGTCTGTACGAGGTCGAGGATATGCAGGGAAGATCGTTGGGGGTTTTTCACGCCAAAGATTTAAAGCAATAGCTTTAGAATCTTTGGTGGTTCTAGTCCCAACATGTTCTCCTGCTTATCTTTCGCCTGTCGTGTCTAGTAGTCAGCCTTATCTAATTTGTACTCGATAGGTAACTGTAATTGGATAAAGTCTTTTGAGTTTTGTTATTAATTGAAAATCTATCTCTCGCAGTGAATTTCTGTTTGGTATAGTTGTTGTTGTATCCTGAGCAGTATTGAGATCTGTACATATCGTTCATTTATATCGTAGTCCAGTGAGATCCATAGCTTCTTTGGAATGAATAATTATTTGTTTGGTTCGACTTAAAGCCAACGTTTCTTAGCTGGTTACATGTGTAACCGGTCATTACCCTATTAGAAGGTGCAACCCCATCAAAGCCTTCCGGTACCGTGCCATTAAAAGCGTAAGGGTTATTAGTCACCTAGGGCAATGACACAATTCTGAGTCCGATCTTACAGCGAGCCGATACCAAAGGAAACAATTGGGACAATACATATTGGCAGACCAACAGGTATTTGTTCATTCCGTAAGCAGATTGTCACTGGCTGGGATATAAATGATCAATAGTACAGAATCATCGGTTTTGTCCAGGATATAATCAGTAACTATACTAAACACAATTCATTTGAAGTCAGTAGTAATAACAAGTAGTTTAGGACCTTGCTTCATAGTTTTTCTAAACTTTATCTTGTTATTACTACCGAATTCTGCTTTAATTATAAAAAGATATGGTTCCTATCCAGTCCGACTTAAGACTATTCAACTTATACTACTTTATTAAATTTTTGGTTTTACACTCACTCTGATATTTCTACGCCTTTCTGCAAATATCTGCTTCTGTTGTATTTGTTGCTTTAATTGTTGTTTAGTAGTTGTTTCTGTTGTTGTTGTAACCTGAAATAAAGTTCGGAAGACTTTAGTAGGGATTCCCATAGTTTAAATATAAATTTAATATATTTTAGTATATACTTGCCAATTCCCCTGAATTAAATTGGCTTCATAGGGTTCGTCCTTCACGAGGGCACTTGAATTCCCCAAGGAACCTGTAGAAAACAAGATATTAGTTATTTTCAATTATTTGTTGAGAATGAAAATTCCTAAAGAAATAATATAATGAATTTGCTAGAGGAAATCTTTAATTTTAGGATATTTTCTAATCTCAACAACACTTATTCTAAGAAATTAATTTTGTTTTTATATTTTCATGTGGAAATGTCAAGGGGTATTTCTCGCCAAGGATCAAAGGATTTATCCTGAAATCTTTGGTGAATCTAGTCCTTGCATTTCCCACCTTTAACAAAAGACTTACCTGAGTCTTATTTGAAGTCCAGGTCGTCTAGTCTTCTTACTCCAATGAATGGATAATCTGAAAAGAAAGTGAAAAATGTTAGAAAGAAGTTCTAATAAAATTATATAAAAATTCCAAAACAAAAAAAAAAAATCACAAAAAAAAAAAATATATAAAAACAAAAATTAAAAAAAAAAAAATACAAAAATACAAACCACAAAAAAAATATATATAAAACACAAAAAAAATCACAAAAAAAAATTTGAATTTTGAATTAGTAGAATTTTTTTTATTATTTATTTTGAATTTAAGTTCGTTTCGTTCACAGCACACTTTTAGTGAACACCTTTCTTTTTTTTTTGCCATAGTTTTCATTTTAATTGTTTTGTTTACCGATTTCATTATTTTGTTTTCACGACCTTTTTAATTTATCACTCCGTTTTATTTTATTTTATTTTTTTTTTTTGTTAATTTTCACTAATTTTTCTAATTTTTAATTTTCTAAATTTTTTTATTTTTAATTTTCACTGTCACACCACTTTTGCACACCACTGTAATTTTTATTCTCAGTTTTTCGGTTTTAACACTTCACCACAGATTAGGATTTAATTTATTTTAGATTTTCTTTTTATCACTGCCACTTTTCTCCGCCACTGTATTTTCCACAAAAAAAAATATTCGAAAAAATTTATTTAATTTCGCGTCGATTTTCAATTTAGTTTATATAAAATTTTTTGTATACCACTTTTGATTGTCACTGTATTAAAATTTTTTTTATTTTTGATTCATCACCCATTATTTTCACAACCACTTTCAAATTAATTTTAATTTTTTATGATTTTATTTTCATTTCACTTTTGTTATCCACTGTAATTAATTTTTTTTTACCGGTTTAATTTTCTTTATCACTTTAGTTTCCGTATCACTTTTAATTTTTTTTGTTCACTTTAATATTTTTGCTCACTTTTAATTTTAAAATCCGTGCATTTTTGCCCGACACTGTAACTTTAATTTTTTATTTTTTTAGTTTTCAATTTCATTTTCACTTTAATTTGCATTTTTTTTTTTTTTTTGTTCTCTTTTCAATTTATTTTTTTTATTACACTTTTGTCACTCACTGTAAATTTCATTTTTATTTTTTTTTTGTATCGACACAATTTTTTATTGTAAATTTTCATTTAATTTTTTTCAATTTTTTTGTTGTAATTTTTTTTGGCGTACACTTTTGTTACACACTGTAGATTCCGTTTTAATTTTATTTGTTTGCCGACACAAATCCGATTTTTTTTATTTAAAATTTTCATTTAATTTTTTTTATTTTAATTTTCTTTGATTCACTTTTGTCCCGCACTGTAATTTCTGGAAAATAATTTTTTAATTGTTATTGCATACCGGCAATAAATTTTTCACTTTTTATTTTGAAAGAAATTTTAATTTTTCGTTTTCATTTTTTTTTGTCCGTCCGCGCACTTTTTACCATCACTGTATTAAATTTTTTTTTGTCCACAAATTCCTAACTGCACTTTTATTTTTATTTTACCACCACACTTTTATTTAATTAAATTCACTTTAAATTCATATTACTTACCTTTTTGTTTTTGTCCAAATCCAGAAATTACGTCTGCACACACACGATAAATAACTGTAGTCACATTCCTGAAAAGAGTAAACAAAAAAAAAAATGCATTAATAAATTTGTTGACCTTGAATATTTGTAATAATTTTTTTTTACTTACCAAAATTCCACCAGAATCCGCAGCATCCTTCGTCTATTCCTGAAAAGAAAATATAAGAAAAATTTTATTAGTATTTTGCTACATTTTCATATTAAAAGTTCCAATTAGAAATAAATATTTTCGAAAAATAAAAACTCATTAACAAATACTTACCATTCTTGTTCACCGCCATTGAAAAATGATCGTACGCATTTACACATGCGTATTTTTCCTATGTTGCCTCCTCCCGTTCCATTCATTCAAGCAGCTGTTCAGAGTTCGTCGCCGACCGTCCAATTTTTAACGGCGGCACAGAGTTGTACTTTCGTTCTCGAACGAATAAGGATTGCCAGACTGCATTTTTTTATATGGGGATTAAAAAATGCCCAAAATTTTAAATTTTTATTTTATTAGGGTAATTCATAAAAATCAGGGCGCGTATTTTTCCCTCCCATTTTGTCTCCATAAATGGATGACAGAAATGGTGGGGTTTGTCGTGTGCACCCTGTAGGTAAATGTGTGAATGGTTGTAGAAATAAGAAGAAGGGAAAAATAAAGTTGGCAACGCGTCGTTTGACATTTTTGAGAAAAAAAAAAAATGAAAGTAAACAAAAACAAACACTAGGAAAATTATTTGAAACAGTAGATTGAATAGCTGAAAGGAATTGAAACAGTAGGAAGCCATTATGGGATCCGAGGTTTCTCGGACCCTAATGTGCAAAATGTCGGCCTTTTTTCTTTGAGATTCAACGAAGCAGCAAGTGGCAAGTGCGCACAATAAAAGTCGCCTAAGCATTTTTAAAGTCTTTATTTAAATCAAACAATATAATATAAATTATATAAATTGAACACCAAAAAAAAAAAAAGGTTATACAAATATTTCAACGCCACCTCTGCCGACTTCCAACGTGGGATCTTTCATTTGGGAACATCGGCTCCGCACTGCCAATCCTGGGGTGCGCAGGTATACCAAAGGTTTCGACCATAAAGATTTTTGACCCTGAACGACAAGACGGACTGACAGTACCTTTTAAATAATTAATAAAAAAAAGGGAAAATAATAAATAAAAAAATATATATATATATAAAATAACAAGCTTACCATTGGTTAGGATCGGACCAGACCGCTGGCCAAAAATTACCGCTAAGCGTGCGCGACGTTAGGGTTGAGCTCAGGCCTAGTTTTTTAGAAGAATTTGCGGCAGATTTGCACCCAGTAGCTCAGTATTTTTATACGTATATATATGTAAAAAAAAAATAAATATATATAAATAATTATTTAAAAGATATTTAAAATTTTTGCAAACTGACCTGAATTACCCGGACCTGGACAGAATACGGACGACGGAAACCCCACTGCAACACCTGCCAACTCCATAGCCGTAGGACCTGTAGAAGAAAGAGGAGAAAGTAATGAAAAAATACTTAAAAGCTAAAATATAAAGATACTTAAAAGCTAAAATCTAAAGATACTTAAAATCTAAAAATACTTAAAAGCTAAAATCTAAAGATACTTAAAAGCTAAAAGATAAAAATACTTAAAAGCTGAAATCTAAAAATACTTAAAATTTAAAAATTTGATAAAACTAACAGCTGAAAACAATTTGTCAAAAGCTAAATTCTTAAATCTATTTAAAACTTAAAACCTAAAATTTAAAATATACTGCTTTAAAACTAAGAGATTATATTGTGAAATCATACTACTAAAGCCTAAATCTACTTAAATCTAAAGCTTAGAATCTACAAAAACTTAAAATGGGAAACTAAAGAAAATTTGTCAATCTAAAAGCTAAATGTGTTAAACCGATAATTTGTATATAAAAATTTTTTTGTAATAATAAATATCTCCCTTAAACTCATTTTTTTGGATATTGTCCATAAAAAAATTTTTGTAAAATTTAAATTTTGCCGTAAGCTAAGAAAAATTCTAATAATTAATAAAAAAAATTATGTTTATAACGTTTTAAAGAAATTTTGAAAAGTTGTGTCATTAATATGATTTGGTAATTTGTTTGAAAAGCGGCGGTAAGTAGGGGAAGTGAATGTTCGCAGGGAAGATTTGGGGGACGTCAAGGAAGAGGACGTCATGGTGAGGTTGAATCCTCTAGTGGGAGGACAATAATGTGTATAGGTATGACCGCAGGGAGATGCAGGACTACTTTTGGCCCCTTTTTCAAATAATACCCCAAATGCTGGTATGAATTTTTGTGTTAGTGTGTGTTTATGGTCCAGATTGCCGGCAAGAACCACCCCATCCGGCGAGCTTTAGCCGCGCAATACGCGGGCATACCAGCGCCGCTAGCAATCTGGCCCTTCTGTCCCTTTCTGTTTATTTTGTTTTCTGTTTGTCTTATTTTAAACAAACAGCTGACCACCACACCACAACACAAGTGTTAAAAACACTTTGGGGTAAAGTTAAGACGACTTATAATAAATGTATTAACTTTTAAATACGAAAAACTAAGGGTGAAGAAAAGGAAATCGTATCTAAATATCCAGTAGTTAAAGAAAGTTTTGAGGTAGCCTGGCCCGATTTAAAGGAAGCATATAAGAATCCTCGTATGTTGATACATAACCAACTAAAACTTATTTTTGGCCTTCCTTTACTTAACAAGAAATCGATAACAGCACTCAAAACATTACAACGCGGAATTAATAATTGCCTTGTGGCTCTTTCTATTTATAAAGAGCCTACTGATAATAGGGACCCAACTATCGCTTTTATGTGTATTCAAAATCTGCATCTGCAGTTATTTTGTAAGAACAGGGAGTTAAAACCAAAACAGTTTTGTATGCATGGAAAGATTTCGATAACTTTCTGACATTGCAATGTCTTTATGATCTTAAAGGTACGAACTCGACTGACGTCGACTCTTCACTGCAATCAAATCAGTCCCATTATTTGCGAAATTGTCGTCAATTTAAAAGTCTTTCAGTATCTGACAGAATTTACTGTGAATGATTATAACTGCTGTACTAATTGGCTTTCGTGGACACATAAAGTCAGAAGTTGTACAATCAATAATAACTGTTTTATTTGAAATAATCGACATCATTCAATGCTTCATCTGCAGCATACAAATAATTCTAGTTGAAAGACTTTCTGTTTCAACTGAACACAATTCCAGTGAGGTTCTACGACTCACTAACTCTATCACTCAACAATCGCATTCATCCAATAATGTTACATTTAATCCACAAGTATTTCATACTAGAAAGAATTAGTCTGTTTTGTTAGAGACTGCAATGGTCAACATAATTCATAACGGCCATAAGTATCAGGACCGTGTTTTAATAGATTCGGGTTCAGTATGCTCTTTGATTTCTAAACGATTGCGAAATAGGTTAAAACTTCCCACTCATTTTGCGAATTCTAACGTTTTTGGAGTTTCAATGTTTTGTCCTTTGAAAATTAGTTTAGATTTAGATTCTTCAATAAACCTATCAACTAACACATTTGTTTAGAAATAAGGGTAAATTTTCCTTCGACTTCTGTAAATGTCGATATTAAAAATGTATTGCCAAATCTTTATTTGGCCTTTACGAGTAGGCCTCTGAATATTCTTATCGGATCAGATTTATGCCCGCGCATTATTTTACTAGAAATTTATTGTCAATTTAAGATGCTAATAGAAATATATTTATGGTCCCTACTACCTTATTTATGTTCCTTCTACTTTGTTTTTATATCTCACTTATATTATATGTCTTATAATTAAATAATAATCCACCTGCAGGACTTCAATTCTGTGGGAAAAGTCGAGAGACTTCCCAAAAATCCACCTTCGGGACTTCGGTTACTATTTATAAAAACTTTAGAATCTTATAAAGCTCCCCTTTATTGAAACTTTGTTGGAAGATTCTTTTTATATAAATTTGTAGCTGAAATGAAGATTTTATAGAATTCATCGAAAATTTTTAAAATATTATCCAGACCGTTTTGCTATTGTTTTTAAACCTTTTAATAAGGTAATGGCCGAAGTTATTTGCCCACGATTTTATCAATATTTCGTACGGATTTCAGATCTTTGCCTATCCGAATAATGAAATGCATGATTCTGAAGTTTATTGTTCGCCGCTGCAGCTATTTATAGCTTTTTAATATTTAGGATGCAAAATCAGACATTTATACCCTTCACACGAAGGTGATGGTATAAAACGAAGAATTTACTTTTAGTAACATTTGAATTTTAAATAATTATTTTTACGTTTTATAATTAAAATTTTCATTCTATTTTTGAAACTGAAAATAGTTGTTTGTAATTTATTGAGTCCCAGATCGCGAATAATTTAAAATCGTAGAATTGGCAAATATTGTGCGCAATAGAACAAAAGTGTGTGTTTTCGTTATTGAATTCCACAACCGATTTTACGTGGAAGTTTAAAATGTAGATGCATTTGATTCAGTTAGACCTATGGGATGTTGTTGAAAAGGCCCATCCAGATCCAATTACCCCAGCATTTATCAAGTCTGATCAAAAAGCAAGAGCAGCTATCGTATTGTGTCTTGTCAATTCTCAGGTCCATCTTATAAGAATGGCAACATCAGTAAAATCTATGAGGATTAATATAAAAACAACTTACGAGAAGAAAACAATGACGTCCTTTAGAGAGCTCAATTTTTTAAGAATATGAAGAAGTATAATAGTAAAGTCTATACTGTCTAGAACAAAATGGTGTTGCGGAGCGCACAGTGGTATAGGAAAAAAAAAAAGAGGGAAATAATTCGGTAACTTCTAAACGGTTAATCCGATTTTAATGAAATTTGGTATGCACAAAGAGGAGGTGTTGTCGAGTTTAGGTTTTGAATTTGGACCTTATAGGCCAACCAGGGGCCCGGCGGGGGGTCCTCAAATTAGGACACCTCGGCTATGTTAAATTTTTAAAACGATCCTATTTCTTCATTTGAGTTCCGATTTAAAAAAAATTTCGTATATAGAATCTCCTCATCGAGCACTATAAAAAATGTCGTCGTAGCAGTAAATTATCTCTTATAGTTTAGGAGATATTCGCATTTGAATATTAAAATTTTAAAATTTTTACCGTCCTTACTTTAGTTTTTTTGATAATAGCAGGTCCAAATATTTCCGATTTTCGCCATTTTTTTTTATTTGCTTAACAACAAGTTTATATACCAAGCAGTGAAAGAATTATGTAAAAATCATGACTGAGTCCAAAGTTATAGGCATTTAAATTTAAAAAATTAAAAAAAGGCGATTTTTTGTCATTTTTTTGGGAAAAAAGTATCTTTTTCTTTTTAAGTTATCTAAAAAGTTTCTAAGAAGATGTATATAGAATTTATACTTTTTGGAAAGCTGACTTTACATAAAATACGATAAATGAAACAAAACCTAAAAATTTTTGATACCGAGGGGACCAGGTCCATCCAAAAAAACCCTATTTTTTATGGAAAATTAAATTTTGAGCAAAAATTCTCAAATCGCATAGTCGATATCAAATTATAGTGACCTGTTTTATATGACCCAATAAGTTCTTAATCATTTTGTAACGGGTTTCGATAACCCCGCCCCTGGTATGGATATAATAGGCAAAAAACCAAAAAATCCCATTTTTGGGATTTTTTAAAACTTTTTTGGGAATACCGGGATTTCTAATAAGAAAATTCGAAATTTTTATTTAATTTTGGATTTTGAGTAAAAAAATCTACCTAACTGTAAAATTTCATCAAAAAATATTCATAAATAAAATTTTTATTGCAATTTGAAAAATTTGTATCTTCGCAAAAACTGAATAAAAAACATTTTTTAATTTTTTTTAAAAAAAGTATTCCGCGAATTTTTTAATTTTCAAAAATTATATACAGTTTTGAAAAATAGACAAAATTACCTTTCCATTGATATATAACATGCCTACCTAATGTTTTTAAGTGACAAATTAATTAGGGAAAACTCAACATCTTTTAGAAAATTTACCTAGCACTATTATTTTCATCCATATATGTAACAAATTTAAGAGTAACCTTATGGATGAAAATAATAGTGCTAGGCAAATTTTCTAAAAGATGTTGAGTTTTCCCTAATTAATTTGTCACTTAAAAAACATTAGGTAGGCATGTTATATATCAATGGAAAGGTAATTTTGTCTATTTTTCAAAACTGTATATAATTTTTGAAAATTAAAAAATTCGCGGAATACTTTTTTTAAAAAAAATTAAAAAATGTTTTTTATTCAGTTTTTGCGAAGATACAAATTTTTCTAATTGCAATAAAAATTTTATTTATGAATATTTTTTGATGAAATTTTACAGTTAGGTAGATTTTTTTACTTAAAATCCAAAATTAAATCAAAATTTCGAATTTTCTTATTAGAAATCCCGGAATTCCCAAAAAAGTTTTAAAAAATCCCAAAAATGGGATTTTTTACTTTTTTGCCTATTATATCCAT